GAATTGTGAACAAAAGATGACCATTTATAAGTATTTTCCAATGATGATAAGAGGCAAGGACAATGTTTGCCATTATTATTATTATTATTATTATTATTATTATTTAAATCTATGCTCAGTCAGTGCCTTTTAGCCATGTGCTATCTTGCTATCAAACACAAACGAGAAACACTATTGAAAGATGTGTATCTGGTGTCAGCATTTTAAAATCAGAATATCTAACATAAAATCATTCTTGCAAAGTGGGATGTCGCAGAAGTCATTATACCAGTTTTATTTAGATACTGCTGAATGTAGAAATAGCTTCTCAAAGTAACTAACTGTACTAATTCATTCATCCCTCCCTACTTCTCTCTCCATCCTGATTCGAATTCCAAATTCCATTCTGGGTTAGAAGACGGTCACACACATGTCTACGTCCTCACATTTGCAAGCATTTAACTTAATTAATTCATATTCTGGCCATTTATGTATATGGCCAGAATATGAATTAATTACCAATCATAACTCATCAAGAAGCAGAAAGAGGCCAGGTCTTGAAGCAAATCAAGAAGAAACCTATATTTTGCTCTTATAATGCATTTATAGTCCTCTTTAGCAGCAATATTATAATGCTTAAGTTAAGATGCTTAAGTTGTTTGAATTAAGAGTTAATGACTGTTACAATTTCCATTGAAAGATCTGGCTGGAGTAATAACAAATTTTATTTAGCTACTAGCGGGCAAGCCCGCCAGCTGAGCGGGCTGAAGCCCGCTTATCATTGTTCTTTTTTAAAAGATATCCTATGTTAAATTTGGCCGGTATTGAAAAGTTGAACCGAACTACCATTTTTTAGCGGCATTCCGCGGGCTTCCCCCGCTTTTTTCACCTATGCATCCAGAAGTTACCGCATACACTATACATATGCGGAAAATCACGAAAACACCCATGCTTCCAGCCCTTTCGCGGGTATTCGAAATTTGGACCGAAATACCAGTGTTCACGTGTGCATGCAAAAGATACTGCGTACACCGTACACATGCGTAAAATCACCCCTCCAGCCAGCCCGCTGCCGATTCGAAAGTTGGACCGAAATACAATTTTTCAGCGATTTTGCGCGTGCTGTGCCCGCTTTATTCACGTATGCATGCTGAAGATGGTGCATAAACGATACACATGCGTAAAATCACGAAAACAAACATGGAGCCTGCCTGTTCGCCGGTATTCGAAAGTTGGACCGAATTACCAGTGTTATGTGGCTTTGCGCGGGCTCTGCCCGCTTTATTCACATATACCCAGAAGATACTCCATACACTATACACATGCGTAAAATCACGAAACACCCATGGAGCCAGCCAGTTCGTCGGGATTCGAAATTACCCGCATTACCAGTATTCTGTGCCCGCTTTATTCACGTATGCATCCATGAGATACTTTATAAACGATACACATTGCGAACAATCACGAAAACACCCATGCAGCCAGCCCGCTCGCCGAGATTCGAAAGTTTGAGCGAACTACCAGTGTTCAGCGGTTTTAACCCGGTATCCGCGCGCTGTATTCACGTATGCATCCAAATTTTATATACAGTACCCCGGAATTCGAAAGTAGGACCGAAATACCAGTGTTCAGCGATTTTGTGGAGCGGGCTGCGCCCGCTTTATACACATAAACATGGAGAGGATACTGCATAAACGATACACATGAGTTAAAGCAAGAAAACACCCGGGGAGCCAGCTCGTTCGCCGACACCGAAAGTTGGATCGAACTACCAGCGTTAAGAGGTTTTGAGCAGGCTGCGCCCACTTCTATCACATATGCATCCAGAAATCACTTTATACACTATACACATGCGGAAAATCAGGAAAACAGCCATGCAGCCAGCCCGCTCGCAGAGATTCGAATGTTTGACCCGAACTACCAGTGTTCAGCGGTTTTACCCGGTATCCGCGCGCTGTATTCACGTATGCGACCAAATTTTATGTACAGTACCCCGGAATTCGAAAGTTGGACCGAACTACCAGTGTTCTGTAGTTTGCGCGGGCTGCTCCCGCTTTATTCAAGTATGCATGCAGAAGATACCCGCATAACACGTTACACATGCGAAAAAATCCCGAAAAACACACATTGAGCCAACACGGTCGCTTGGATTCGAAAGTTGGACCGAACTACCAGTAATCAGAGGTTTTTGAGCGAATTTCGGCCCGCTTTATTCACTTATGCATCCAGAAGAGATGCTGCGTACACGAGGCACATGCGTAAAATCACGCAAACACCCATGGACCCAGCCCGTTCGCCGGGATTCGAAATTAGGACCGAACTACCAGAGTTCAGCTTTATTCATTTATGCATCCAGAAGACACTGCATACACAACAGATATGCGTAAAATCACAAAAAAACATGAGTGTAGCCTGCCTGCTCACCGGGATTCGAAAGTTACCGTTATACCATCTCAAAGGAGCAAAGAAAATCTTTAATCTAAAAAAAAAAAAAAAAAAAGTGTGAATTTAATTTTTATTGGTGCGAACTTATTTAAAATATCATTTGCATTAAAAGATAATATCTAAATTAAGTGCGCATATCTAATAACATAAAAAAATATATTATTCCAAAAAATCAAATTTATTATTAAAAAAATAACAACATATTTTTAAAAAATAGCTTTTTCAGATTTTTTAATTAATATATCCCAGCTGATTAAAGTTGTACAACTTCAAGAACGTCATCATTTAAATTTAATGTAATATAATAACTTTTATTCAATATCAATAAAAAGAATTAACGTGACAATCATCCTAACCTGAAATTAAAAAAAAATTGTGAAAAGCAGCTGTTTATTTAAAATGCCTACATTAACGAAATATTTTTAAAATACAGTTAGGTAACATGCAACATCGCGTGCTTTATTCAACTTTAGAATATAACCTTGATTTGTATCTGCGGCGATTCAAGAAAGAAAAAACTGTTGCAATCGGAAAAAATGAGCCCGAAAATTAGCGTTTTCACAGTTTTTAATTAATATCTCAGCTGATTAACATCCTACAAAGATGAGAATGGTATCATTGGATTCGTAGAATTTTTTGGAATCCGCAGACACCTGCCTCGAATTCCAACTCAGCGCCGTTCCATAGATATTTGAAGAAAAATAATTTGGACACGTGACCTTTCGCCAACCAAATGCAGAGCAAATCTCGAGCTGTTTGCCCCTCCCCCATCGCTTTCGAGAAAGTATTTTTATCTCAGCTAATTCCGAGAACGGTCGGCCACTCCGAAAAATGAATTATAACGTTTTCGCAGTTTTTAATTAATAACTCCGCCGATTATTGTCGTACAAAGATGGGACCGGTATCGATGGATTCGTTGATTTTTTTCGGAATACGGGGATATGCGTTTCGAATCGCAACTCGGAGCCGTTCCGCAGATATTCGAGAAAAACGAAAATTTGGCACTCGGCCAAATCCCTAAAATAGGGGAAACCCGTGAAAGAAAGTGCAAAACGTAGGGAAATGTAGGGAAGAAAAAACAGTTTTTAATTAATATCTCGGCTAATTAAAGTCGCACGAAGATGCCGATGGTCCATATCCGGCGAGCTACGGGACCTGACGATTCCAACGGGTACCTTCCGCTAAGCTCTACACCCAGCCGTTTCCCGAGGAGATGATGTTACAAACAACAAACAAACAGACAGAGGCACACAGATTTTAATAGTATAGACTAGATTCTTTTTGAGAATTTTAATAATTAGCAGAATTTCACATTATAGATATATTGTATCTGTACAAATATTTTTAATGTTTTGTATTTAATTTAATATAGTATTACTAATAACTTTCTTGGATATGTTGAAAGTCCAACTGATGAATTTGTTAGTATTCAAATTAAAGGTCTTGTGTTTTGCCAAACAGTACAATTTTTTATATTTAATTATTTGAAGATCAAGATAGTCGATTATATTTTGTGAATGATTAATTTTATTAAGAGTAAGCATTCTGGAAAAATCTCTGAGTTTTCAATCGTGTTAAAATTATTAAATATAATAACATCATCTATACATTTGTAAGTGTGTGCGTAGTATTTTTTGGAAGGAAAATTCTTCTTTAAAATTCTTATTCATAAAAAGATATTACAGACAAAAGTACTTGAATGTGTGCCCATTGGGATACATCAGTTTTGCTTAAAAAGATGATTTTGAAATTTAATGTAGTTATGAAAAATGGTGCATTTGAGGAAGGCTTTCCATTTATTAATGTCTATAATTGTGAGCATAGCAGGAAAGAGTTTAGACAGATCTAGTAGGCTAGTATAGATTTCTTCTAATGGAAGCAAGGTATATAAGTTTTCAAAGTCTTAGCAGTATCTATGTCGATAGACTGGACGGTATGACAGGAGTGTGATTTTGGATGATCCAGCAATATTTATGATTAGTGTTACATGTATTGAATATTAATTTACAAATTAAGTGCAAAATAATAGTCTAGATTTTTTTTGTAATTGCTGGTGCTATTAGCAATGAATTTTAATGGTGTTTTATGGAATTTGGGAAGAGCATATAGGTTAATAAATCTGTTGTACCTTGGATTTATAGAGATATTGAGTTTTTTATGAAAAGTTTTAATTCTGTTAATTACAGAGGTTTCTGTAATGTTTGCTAATTTATAAGTATTTGCATTAAAGAGTTCTTTATTAATAATTGTTGTGTAGAACAGTTTTCATATAATGCTAAAGCTATTATTTGCTTTATCAATTTTGGTAATAGTGAAAAGTTGCTTTAAATTTTTAATACCAGACATAAGTTGAGATCAATTTAATTGACTTTGAAATTTTATAGGTATTATACATACACAGAATAAAAATCTTGAAGTTTTGGAAATATTTAAAAAATAGTATTATACAAACAAAATGAATAAACAAATGTGATATAATATTGGTTTTAAATGCATATAACTCTCATAGAAAAAGAAAGATAAAATGGTATTGTACTAGTGTCAGAAAGAGTAAGAGTTAATTTTAAAACACTTACTTTATGAGAAGTATTATCTGTAGTATCTGTCAGCAGTGTAGAATTAACTACTGAAGATGACGTAGTAGCACAATCCTGAAAAATAAATGCTGGTAGTAAATGTCTCCAAAATGAATTCAAAATTATGCATGCTTTATAACCATAAAACTGTCAATCAGTACCATTGGCAGAATTAATTGCCCAGTTTGCATCATGCAAATTTTTAATACCAGACATAAGTTGAGATCAATTTAATTGACTTTGAAATTTTATAGGTATTATACATACACCATAGGTATTATAGTCTCACCAAAGACTTATGTGGTGGCATTTTAATAAAGAAGAATTAAAATAATCATTTAGCTATCATAATATTCTCAATCATATGTGACCATAATAAAACAATGTAACACATACATCTACGAATTATATTGAACTATTGCAAAATTAACAGAATTTCAAAGAACAGTCTTTTTTCCCCAAAGATTTTCTGATATATCTTATAGCATAAATTAATATTCATTTAAATTGTTTGATCTCATCAACAGTCAGAATCATCAGGCTGCCAATATTTAAGAATTAGATCTTTTGATTTAAAATTCATCACTGTTCTGCACAAGTGATAAACTGCTTTGCAAATTCTAAAAAAAAATTTCATTTGGAAGATTAGTTTTTGCTGTATCTAAGTATCATATAAAAATCCAAATATCTATCATATAAAAAGCAAAATTATGTAATGATTAATTTCATTATTACACAAAACTGTGAGAGAAAGCTTCAACATTAATGAAATAAAAATTTTATATCAAATTCTGAAAAATTATTACAAAATATTGTATTGTGAACATAAATATACACATATAAAACTTGCAAGAAAAATCAGATTGGTAGAAAAGGGAAAAAAATTAAGGTACTATCTTATTATCCACCTAAGTGTCCCATAAAGTTGTCTATAATTGCCAACTAATTTTTCACCAACACCTTTTTTTTTTTTTTTAATGGCCAGGTGCTTTATTTAATAGCCAGTAGCCTTGCGTCTTTACAAGGGCCGGAAGTGGTGGCCATTTCATTATGGAAGGGCTTAATATCTGGCCACCATTGGCTCCTATGAAGGGGCGGACAGTTACAATCATGCCTTTTCCGGGATTCGAACCCCTGCCCATCGTTACAGCAGTCAGGGTCACTAACTACTATACCGGCCGAGTGGCAATTTTTTTCCTACCTGAAACACGAAAACAGTAGCAATTTTAAAAAATGGTGGCACCCTAACTGTACAGAGTGCTATGTTAGAAAAGTAGACATTCTGATTGCCTACTTTTCCAAAAATGGTGGCACCCTAACTGTACAGAGTGCTATGCTGGAAAAGTAGGCATTCTGATTGCCTACTTTTCCAACATAGCACTCTGTACAAATAGGGTGGATAAGACAATACCACCAACATCAGTTTCACGATTTGAACCAAGAATAACAAACCAAATTAAATAAAACTGTGTAAAAACACGTTGCTTTTTATGTGAGGATAGTAGGGATAGGTAAGAAATTCTGATCTAAAAGGGATATATTATTTCCTGTGATTAAAAATGTAGTTTTTTATTCTTCAATAATGTAATGGCATTTTCTTTACATCAAACTGGTATCAATGAAAATTTTTATGAAAATAATTGGCAGAAAAGGAGAATTTCCCCTTCCCTAAATAATCATCCAAAATAACAATAAGCCCATTTTATAAAAAAGAAATTATCCGTGAATAACTTGTAATGATACTGGTGAGATATGTTGTTGATGTGATGAGACACTGGTCTTGTATCATTGACATATGAATTGTCATTGTTCTTATCTCAAAAGGCAATATGAACACTTTAGTGGACTGTAATTACCTTTTGCTGATCTCATAATATCTCAGATTAACAATTTAAACACATTTTGTATGGTCTATCTAACATACACAACTATGTTGCTTAGCGGTAATATGAATAATAGTAATACACAATGTAATATGAAAACTTCATAAATGCTGTGTTATCAACTAATGTGTAAGGGATATGTAGATGTCTCAGCACATAAGAGATATTTATATAAGTTGATAACAAATAGGTTGACTAAGCTAAAAATCTGTTCCTATAAAAATATACCAATCCATACATTATATGAAACATTGTTTTTTCCCTTGTGTCATTTAAAAGTGGTGATTTTAAACGGGTACTAATACCTGCCCCGCTTTTAAACGATATGTTTAATTCTTGCATTTAAACTTGTATTCCAAATTAAGATTTAACTTGAAATTCATGTAGATAATTACTGAGAGAATTATATTTTTGTAGCGCAGTTTACGTGAGATAAGATCATTTGGGGTCACGTGATATGAACCGGCGAATCAGGATGTTGGACCATGATAGCATAGTAAATTCTTAAATTTATGTCTTTTTACAAATTTTTTGTCTTTATTTGTTGGCTTTTTACAAAATTTTAAGCCATATTAACCCTTTCGCCATCCTCTCCTGTTCGCGAAAATTTCTCCTCAGCAGCCCATTGTTTTTTGCAGCGTGTAATGTTGTTTTGTTTGTACATACATAACTTTCCATATATAAATTTCGTAGTGGATGAATGTAAATGAATATTAAGAAAATTATGAGGAAATAAAGCATAATGGAAAAGTAATAATATCTCTGCTTATTTCTAACAGCAGGATTAATTTGATATCCAGGCGATCTGATCCAGGTGGTCCACTACCCCCATTTTGTTGTTGTAATCTTTTACAATTATTGGTCATACTTAGATTGTTGTTGTAATCTATACAATTATTGGGTTTTTACAGTTCTTTTCCATGTTTCTACATCAATCATAGCGTTATTATGGACTGTACTCATCAAACGTATATCCTTCTTGTCTTTCCAATTCACAACCTTATTTTTTTTCTTTTTCTGCTGAGTAGACATTGAACATCTCTCATTGTCTTGTATCTTATGTAAAATGGTGCGAATATTCATAAAACCCAGGGGGAGGAAATTCAATTAGAAATATAATGCCTGATTAGAAATATAATGCCCTCTAGGAGGTATTAGAACAAACAAAAATAAACACTCAAACAAGTAAACATTTAGAAAGCATTTTAAAATGCAGAAGAACGCTTGAAGCGCGTTACAGCTGCCCTGCAGAACTTTCACTTGAGCGCGCTAGATGCATTACGGACGACGAAGAGGTTAAAATGTTTATGCCTTCAAAATAACAAATTTGTAGAACTAACATTTGTTAAAATTTTTTCTGTGTATACTGTATGTTGTCGCCAACAAAGTCTGCTTGGCTAGATTTGCACCGTCAAAATGGAAAAGTACCAACAGATGTATGCGAGAGGATTAATTTGAAGTTTCTGTATGATTTAGAACAAAAGGGAAGAAAAGCAGTAATTGACTGGAGTGTAAATAAAAGGTTTACTTAGTAGCCATTATAAGTGTCCTGTTTGTACAAAGGAAATGCATATGGTCGGATGTAAAGATTGTTTAGATGGCTTTGTCGCAAGAAAGGTTAAAATGGTCACCATATAAAGCACTTGATTAGAAATGGAACATGATTTGAGGAAAGTCGTTTAAGTATAATTGACATTTTGATTTTTACGTAGATATGAGTCTACGAAGCAAGCACGAAAATGACTGAATTGAAGATCAACAATGAGATCATAACTGACTGGAAGAACTTTTGTAAAGATGTGTGTCGATATTTGTATTCGGAAAGGAGAAAGGATTGGGGATCTGGGTGAAGTTGTTGAAATAGACAAAAGTAAATTTGGAAAACTGAAATATAACAGAGGTAAACGAGTGGAAGCAAAGTGGATGTTTGGTGAAAAAGAGGGGAAGTTTTTTTTTTTTTTTTTTTTTTTTTTTTTGAAGTGGTTGAGGACAGAAGAAAAAAAACTTTGTTGGATGTAATTGAATGGAATATTTTACCTGGTACAACGATCATATATGATTGCTGGAAGTCGTACGATTATTTGACTGATAATGGGTACTGTAATGAAGTTTTAAAGAACTCTCGCCAGTTTTGAATGAACAACAAACTTTTTTAGTCGAAACTTACAAAATAACTGGAAAAAACATTTTTTAAGCATGTGCTTCATCTGCGGATATCCTTTGCGGTAATTTACATTTCTTAGTGGAATTATGTTCGTAGTGTGCCAACGCAAATACGTTACAGTACATTCACCTTTCAGTAAATCGCACAGCGACATTTAAGGATCCGGAAATCACAGCTCATATCAACACCATAGAAGGTAAGAGGAGTATAATTAAAAGAGTTTTCGGAAGAAATGCCACCGACAGTGCGGCACTAAGGAGGATACTTTTGACTCTCATTTTTGCGAATTTATGTGGTGATGCCTGTATACAGATTCTAGTTCAGATAATTTTAGGAATTTTTCGAATGACGTTAAGGAAATTTGTTTGCCACAGACTGAAGACACAGAAATTTCTAAATAAGGTAAGTAGATATTTTCTTTGTGTACTAAGTATATTTCCTTTTCTTATTTTATTTCGTTTGATTTACAATGCAGTTTATTGAGATTATTTATTGTTTGGCTCTAGTGTAAAATTGGGTGCTCCTTTATTTTTTAAGTGAAAATAGATCAATGTGTACATGGACAAAATCAAGAGAGTGTGCAACGCTGAGTTTGTGCATTTCTCTTTTTTTTTTTTTTTTTTTTTCTTTTTCTTTTAAGTGAAAACAGATTGATGTGTACGTGGACATCGAGTTTGTGCAATTCTTGGACTTATTCTTTTGATTCTGTGTAGCGGCCCTCTTGAAATTGTGCCTTGCTGGCCAATCAAAAAAATCACCAATTTTCACCAAGACGCGCCCTAAAATATAACTGGTACTTTTTCATTTTGCCAGCGCAAATCTCGCCAAGCAGACTTTATTGGCGATAACACACAGTACAGTCAAAAGTCGTTAATTCAGACACCCATAATCCGGACCTCAAAGCTAAAAACTTTCTGCGCATGTGCCGCGTTGACACATGCGAATAGGCGTTTACGCGTGCGCGTAAGACCTTTACGACTGTGCATATGCGTGTGCGCAACCGCAGAATACGTTTTCGCGTGCGCGTTTAATGTATAACGGACGGTATAAGCTAAAATTATCTAATTATCTATTTCAGTTAATGTTGATGATTGCGTTGTTCCTTAATCTTCGAACTGGATCCGGCTTATTACTTTTTTCAGAGTGTAAGAGCAATTTTATAAAAATAAACTTGAACTTTCGATTATGTCAAATAGAATTTCCAATGCTGGAGCTCCCAAAGGATCTACAAAACGAAAGTATGTTTCGATGTCCATCAAACAAAAAGTGGAATTGCTGCAAAAAATGGATAAAGATATGAAGAAGGTGACAGAGAGGTTAGTGAAAATGAAAAAATTTCGATTGACAAGTTAGTCAGCATTCTCGGCACAGCAATTACGGGACTTGAACAGCGGAACTTTATAACTGAACAAGAAATTATGTCAGTTTATAGAATTAAAGAGAAAGTATTATCACATAAAACGAAGCAACTTAAACAACTTACATTGAAAGAAATGTTTAATAAAGTAAACAAATAAATATTAAGCTTTTTCTTTGTAAATTTTGATACCCTTTAGATCATAATTGTTCTTTATTTCATAAATTACGGTTTCATATTTTTAATTTTAGAATTTCTGCATGCCATTTTACAAGATTTAAACTGATGATCTATAATCCGGAAAAATCAATAATCCGGAATTGCCAAAGTCCCGACGAGTCCGGATTAACGACTTTTGACTGTATACATATAAAAAAATGTTAGTTCTAAGAAATTTTTACTTAAGGGCCTAATTATTTTATTATTGTTTAAATTTTTTTTCAAATGAGTCTTTCGTTTCCTTTCTCCAAATAAATTCAGCAAGATCACTTTTCAGATGACGTGCCGTTCCTCCATGTTTCTTATTTTGCCATTTGGCTTTATCTCATAGTCTTTCTATTTTTTGTGTGTGCATTCCAGTTTCCAGATTGACAAAATTGTATTTGGAAATGTTTGAAACTTTCCTCTTTCAGATTTTCAGTGCACTATTATTTCTACGAATCCGAATATATTATAGTCCCTTTTCATTATTTTCCTTAATTGCTTCTAATATAATGTTCATGGATCGGTTTGTCAGCTCCACAAGGAAACATTTGTTTGTTTCATGGCAAGTTTCACCAAAGATCCACTGTTGTGACAGAATAACCTCTGCATTGTTTTTGCACTTCTTGAACATACTTCATCCACTTTGACGATCTTAATAGGTCCTCCTATTTCCGTTGTTGACGTTTAAGCAAAGCATCCACATAAACCTCGCGCATGTTGTTATTCCAGGTCACAATTGTTACGTGACTGATTTTCAACCGATTGATTTTTCACACCATTTAACTGAAGTTAATCCTTTGCTCCAACCATAAATAAACCTTACCCACTTCAAGAAAATCAATTTTGATGACTCAAACCATGTGCCTTTCAGGATACTTCTATTACTGCGACAAATTGAAGGGTTGCAATGCCACTGAATGTCATCTCCAAAATAGAATTTCATTTCATGATTATTATCACAAGCAGCAATTTTAGGCAAAATGCCTATCGCTTGAAAGAATTTGACAGATTCGTCCTCTGTTCTGGACAAATCTCGCATTTTAATTGGTTTTCCATCTATTTTGGAGTATTAGGGAAAAGATGCGAATGGAAAAAAATGGCCACGACTTGTTTTGAAAATGTGGCGGTGAAAGGTTATCGCTTGGCGTCGGTTGTATCATTTTTGGTGACTTTATTGCAATGCACCGGCAAATTGGAAAAGTACCATATATTTTTACCTATAATTGAACAATCTCTGTAACATAATACTTAAAATATAAACTATAAATTATAATATTTAAAAAATAAACTATATAAATTACCTTAATGCACTGTTTAAGTTTTAAGCCACGCTGTAACGGTTTTACACTCAGCTGTTCAGTCATTATAAGTAAAATGTAAGTAAAAATAACAGAGAAACTTAATTAGATAATATATTATTTAATATAGTTTACCTTTTGATTTTAAATAAGGAAAATGGAACAATATGTTTCTTACAAGCATTTCAAAAAAGAAACAAAGAAAGAAATAAAAACTCAAATCAAAATACCTGTTGAATCATGAGATGTTACAAACTTGAGAATGGAAAGACTGGTAAAGAGACAAATGAAATACGGCCAGTCTGTTACTTTTTGTCCCTGAAAAGCATTTTTTTTTTTTTTTTTAGTAAGATCAAAAGGTTTCCAGAGAATTTTTGAAATTCCATTCTTACACATTCATAAACAGGTCACTTTTTCATACACAAAAAGTTTACATTACACATTTTTAATTTCTTAAAAATATAAATGCATATCAGCAACATTTACTCTTCCTATTATCTAAATTTCCACACACATTTCATGTTTAATAAACAATTTAGGTTATTTTTCAAGAATTCCCAACTAATGAATTCCTTAGAATGATGAAAAAATGCAGTGTCAAAACACTTCCATTCTGAACAAAAGCAAATAGAATACAATGAGTAAGGGATAGTATTAAATATATTATTACTTTCAGCTTTCTTGCACCTGTAGGGAAAAAAAGGATAAGAAGGAACTTGAAAATACATAAAATTAAGCATGACAGAAAAAGACATTTCCTTTTAATTACCAAAATAATTCTGATTTCTGCTTATTAACTAAATGGTATAAAGGAAAAATATGTATTTTTAACAGTTACAACGGCAATATACTTTATACTATAAAATAATCTGCCTTACAAAACCTCAGAAAAAACGTTATCGCCATTTGTGGCGATGTTTACATTTAACGGATCCTTTGCGGAAGTGCTTCCCAACTTCCATATGACTAGTTTAAATTAAATGCCCACGCATATTTTACAACACTCTTTTATTTAAAACTTGGATTAAAGGCATAGACGAAGCAGAATTCTTTATTTATTAGCTAAAATTATCAATGAAGCACATACTTTAACGTAAGTTATTTCTAAATTCTACTAATAAATGTAATGAAAAAGAAATTAACGGGGAAAAAACATTCGCACGAAAAATGCTACACAATTCGCGGTATAAATCAAATCAATTTCAATTATTTACTTTTACTTTGGCAGTGTTGCCAGATCAAAGAATGGACCAAGGACCAAGAAAGGTCTCAATTATGAGGCTTATAGGCCCTATTAATGCCTTTATCCTTACATCATCAAAGATTAATTATTATCACGAAAAAGATGCTTCTATACAGAAGTAAATATCATGACGAATTCTTAAAAATAAACAAATCGTAAACTGCTTTCCACAGTGAAATAGGTGAAAACACCTATCCTATGCTCAGGCTATTAAGTCTGACATATTTGCTGAAAAAATTACTAAGGCAGTTTTAGAGGCCTAAAAAGTTATGCAAAACTTTCAAGACCTCATTTCGTTGTTACATAACTCTCAGCACATGATCGCTGAACCAAATTTATTTAGCCCCAATCTACCACTAATTATGAACCTTAGGCCCCCAATTGAAAATTAATCCAACGACAGCATTATTTTGATTGTTTGTGAGGTTATGAGCCACAAACAATCTGAATGAACTACAAGATTTTTTTCATACATTTCAGTGATGATGGTATTGACGTTGCCCTCATCACTGAAACACACGCCACGCCCGCACATTCACTAAGCATTCCAAACTATCGCAATTACAGATGTGATAGAGAATTCGGCATAGGGAAGGAGGCGCTCTTAGTTAGGTAAACAGCAGTATACTCAAACTATCATTCTACGGATAACAGTAACGGATTTGAAGTAAGGGCTACTGTTCTCATTCCAAACTGGGGAGAAGTAACAATATGCGTCCTTTACAACCCCCTACTCAATCTCCAAGACCAACACTTTCTCAATCTTTTAAATAATCCATTTCCCACTTTATTAGGCGAAGACCTAAATGCCAAACACACCAGCTAGAAGTGCCGTAGGACCAAAAAAAAAAAGGCGAAAATTCTTTATAATTTCCTTTTTAACAACCCATTCTACATTCATCCCCCAAATGACTTTACCTTCCAACCGACTAATACCAGACAGTACCCAGATATTCTGGACTTATTTTTATCACCCACGAATTTTCCTCTAGCCACGGAAGTGATAGACTATTTATCATCAGAGCAGGTTCATGTGCTGGCACACTTGGGAATCTACAAGGTAGAGAAGGAGCACATTTCTAAAAGCACAGACTAGTATAAATTCGAAAATTTGGTAAAAATTCAGATCCAAAGCACGTTTTGCCTAAGTACCACAGAGGATGTTGATAACGCCATACAAAATAATAATGAACATGTAAATTATGCCTTCAAAAAATGCTACCGTGGAAATAAAAACAAATAAAGATTATTTAAAACTCCCCTCCAACATAAAAAGCATGATCCGAGAAAGAAACAGACTCCGTAAGTTTTACATCTATTCACGTGACCCAACTGTTAAGTCATTGGTCAATAAAACGAACAGACAGATTAAAAAACTCATTGACGAGCACCGCGTCACCACTTGGAACCACACGATTGACAATCTTAACGTGGAAGATGGTGCATTTTGGAAATACATAAGAAGACAAAAAGGAAGCAAAACTAAAAGAATGCCATTGAAAAACAATACTGAGCACTTATACACGGACGAAGAAAAAGCAAATGCTTTTGCTGACCACTTCATAGAACAATTCAAGCCAAACACAAACCCTTCCAATCCTACTTTTATAGAGCATGTTAATAACACTATCGAAAGATGGCTACTCCAACCCACTGCTCGAAAAATCCCAAATTTCACTGTATCCACTGAAGTAGACACCATTATTTCAAAATTGCATAATCGCATAAGCACCCGGCAAGCACAATATCTCAAATAGAATGTTTAAAAATTTACCGAGTCGCTTACATCCCCAAATTATTTTTAATGCCTATCTGTATTTGAGCTACTTCCCGACTGCATGGAAGCATACAACGATTATTCTTATTCATAAGCCCGGGAAAGATTTTACACGAGTAGAAAGCTACTGTCCGATTATCCTGTTACCAACACTAGGCAAAATTTTCGAAAGAATTATTTGTAAACGTCTGGATTCGGTACTGAGCTCACTGCCTGATCAGCAGTTCGGATTTGGAAGAGGACTCTCCACCACCATGCAGCTAATTAGGATAGTGGAGTTCATTAGTTTTGCAATCCATAAACATCAGACGACGGCGTTTCTTATGCTAGACGTGGCGCGTCTGGCATTATGGGCTTATTTATAAAACGCCGAGATATTTTTCAATGTCACCCGATTGATGATTCTATTAATTTATTCTTTTATCACCAATCGCACGCCATCAGATATGGTAATTTCTACCCCCTCAGACAAATTTAGGCCGGAGTCGCCCAGGGCTCAAATTTAGGTCCTCTCTTGTACCTGATTTATGCAATGGATTTCCCGCTTTTTGACGATAACATTAACTACATCATAGCATGTAATGCTGATGATACAGCCATTCTGTCCTATTTCATAAATCCTGACAATGCAATTAAACTCATACAAAGGCGTATGCAAGAAATTGAGAAACGGTGTCGTACCTGGAGAACCTGTATCAACGCCACCAAATCCCAGCTTTTGCTTATTGGAAGACATAGAAGGAAAAACGTACACACCGAACTCACACTATTTAATGATAAAATTACAAAAGTTAATAAAACAATCTATTTGTGTGTGCGGTTTAATACAACACTCAACTAGAAACCCCATATCTCAACTGCTGTCGCAAAGCAACTGGTACTGCTCGCAAACTCAACCCGATCATCAATGCACCCTCAAAACTTGATCTCGCACGGAATAAACGTATTTATACATCAATCCTTCGCCCCATTCTTACATATGCTTCACCGGCCTGGTGTACAGCATCTAAGTTTGATTTCCCGAAATTCCAAACATTCCAAAATACCTTCCTGCGAAAAGTCACGGGAGCACCCTGGTTCATCCGTAACGAGGATTTACACAGAGATCTTAAAATCGAAGATATCAAACCATTAGTGGCAATTCAAATGAGGTCTCGTACGCGAGGAATCACCGTTAAGGGGCACCTGAGGTGCTGGTAAGAGCGCGATGAAGTTCGCGCTGAGACCAGCTTAACAAACAGTATCACAGTTAGTTATCGAGTAGTAGTACATAGGCGTTTTCACTTAAATAAAAAATTTCACGTATATTTTGTAAAACATATTCGAAATAACTCATGCTTTAGATGTTTCAGTTCAATTAGCAGAGTCAAATAAATAAGATATGAATAAACAAAGAAATGTAAAAAAATATCCAAAAGCTTTCAGATTTTACATTACGCCCAAAGGGGCGTTTTTTAACGTTTTGTGTGTTACCTTTATTTAACAAATATCATATACTTCGCACTTAAACCATAAAATTCAATTCAACAGCAATATCGCAAAATAATTTTAAAATGAGCATATCTTTAGAGTTTCCGATACACAGTCTCGCTTGCTGGAGATAATTTTTTCCCCCCCGTACAGTGTTGTCATTGCTCGCATTCAAATAGTTGAGATTGTTAATCAAAAATTCTTTAATATCTGACAAAATATGAAATAAATAATAAAACAAATTCCAAATCTGACTTCCAGATGGCCATATTGGTTGGAGGATTACGTTATTCAAAATTGGATGGCTCTAGGTATCGTTGTTTTATGACAATGCGAGAAGCATACATACATTTATACAGATTCTTCATTATTTAATTTCTTTAAATATAATACAGGGCTGTAATATTTGGTAGCAGTAGTTTGAAAAGTGAATGAACGCGGGAAGTGAATCAACACAAAATGCCAGACCGAAATTAATAGTCCGTTTGGGCTAACCCCCTTTGGGCTAAAAACGTTTAATAGTGTCAAATGGGGAAATAGTTAAAGTGTAGAGTGTGCAAATTCATCTTAATGATATGTTAGAAAAATTTCAACAAAAACACTGTAAATTCATACTAAAAAAATAACTTTAGAACATGTTGTGAAGTAAGTATGGGAAACTTAAATCACAAGCTTACAGTCACTTTCGTTTATGGAAATAATTGTACAAGACTCTGAAGAAACACTTTCTTTGTATGTATGAAATATTTCATAACATATATGGAAGAAGAAAGTACAGCATTCTAATTTTTCTCCAAATGTAATATAAGTACGAACTAGAAATTCGTAATAAAAATCCCTTGCCCTCCAATCAGATTGCCCTCGTGTAGCAAGCTCGTAGCAAGTATTACATTTGTAATACTTGTTAAAAAATGCAATTTTTACCTAAATTAAAAAACAATTATTTCATAAAAAATAATAAATTTGAATGTATTAGATTGAATTTCTGTAATTTGAGTTAAGTTACAAAATAGTTTATAGCTTATATATTTTATACAAATAATTTAGATAAAAATCTGTCCCTATTACTTATAATTTAAGAATGTGTCTTCAGACTTAAACACATGCAATTCATTTCAAAGCATAAAAGAAAGCTTAGTTTTGATTTTACACAGCAAGAGCAGTTTCATCCAATCAAGCTTTTATAATTGCTAGTTATTATACATAATACTTAATTTGAAAAGCATTCTTAAAAGAAAATTGTAATTGTATCTCATTTGAAAAGCATTTCCTTGTATATATATTCATTTTAGTGTTGGAGGGAAGAAAACTAAGAAATACGCAACCACAGAGGTGGTTTTGTTTCACGTTTTTATGACAGCAAAATAATTGGAAAAAAAAACAACATATTTTTTAGATATATTTACATTAATTATTTCAAAATTGATAGTTTTATCATACAACACAAAATATTAAGAAAAAATATATAATATAAAGAATGCAATACGTGGAACCATGTTAATAACCAAAAACAAGAATTACTGAAACATTTAAATTGATTGCTTGAAAAAAAAATTTATAAATCATTTTAATATTTTTCATAGATTCGAAAACGAGAACTGACAATTTAATATCATTTTATAACATGACTGCATCTTTGATGTCTTTTGAGAAAAGCCCTGGACTAGCTGAATCACCTGATGATATTGCTCGTCACTTGTTTAGCATAAAAAAATA